AAAATAACAAATTGACCACAGCTGTGACTAGATACATTCTACCCTACGGACAGAGTGGGACCACAGCTGTGGGGCCCACATCAATGTTCTCTACAGATCCAATGGAAATCCTCTGAAGTCACACCTCTTCTAAGGAAGGGAGAGCTGACCCTCCTAGTATCTGAGCCTGCACTGGTTCATACTTAGATTTCAGCCCCACTAAAAATCGAGTCACATCAAGCTGTTCTCTTTGTTGTTGCTGAATTTTGATATCAGAAGTGGGGGGTGATAAACATTCAACTCATTACAAATGTTTCTCATACTAGCATAGTACTCCTCAAGACTCTGATTACCCTGATGCAGATTAAAGTATTCCAGATACAGCTAATATACTGTGGTTGTATTGTCTTTACTAGAATACAACTTCTTAGCATGGTCCCACACATCTTTGGCAATGTCAAGAAACATGAAATTTACACTAATCTTGGGTTCCATATTGTTCCATAACCATGTGATAATCCGTGCATCCTCTTGTTCCCAGTCATCGTACTCATGAGAATCAGTGGAGGGTTTTTCCTCCCTTATGTGTTTCACCTTCTTTTTTGCCTTCAAAAAAACTTCTATAGATTTAGCCCAAGGTATATAATTCTCTCCATTCAAGTTAATGGAGGTCATTTGAACATTCGGGTAGTTAGTAGGTATCATCACATTAGATTTGCTATCACTGCTATCTCCCATTGCTGAATTCTGTTATTGCTGAATTCGGCACACTGCACACTAGACTACACCACACACTGATCACACTGGTTTCAGCACTTGTTATTGCTGAAGATTGCACACTTTACACCACAAACCCTAGCCCACGACTACCTGAAATCTCACCACACTATATGAGGACCACTCCCCCTTCGAATCACACTGAAAACAGCATAAACCCTAGCACACTACAGTCTGAAATCCCACCATACGATCTAAAACATACTTCTTATTTGATTCATAACAAAAAAAAAAGCATAAAAAATCTCTTACATCATCACCCGAAATTCAAACCACACAAGACACCCACTGCACCACACAAATCAGCCCTCTTGTCTTTATCGATTAGGGAGGGGCTTCTTAGAGACCACAGCAACTGACCACGAACAGCACAACTGGAGGCATAGAGACCTCCAAGGGAAGAGGGCAACCACTCCTTTTCGGTCCTTTCCCTTATCTCCAACCGATGGCAAAGAAACCAGGAGAAAACCCTAGACTGGGTGCGCAGAAAACAAAAATCTGGGCAGATCCGAGTTGCTTAGTTGAGCTCTGATACCATATTATGATTCGGCCTGCCCTTGAGTTCTGTTAGCCTGATAACAGTCAAGAAGAGAGAAGAAAGAAGAAAGAGAGAGAGAGAGAGAGAGAGAGAGAGAGAGGAGGAGAAAAGGAGAGAAGAAAAGTCTGGTTCGAATGAGAGAAAAATTACCTCTCCCATTGGGCCAGATATGTTTTATATTACTAACATAATGGAAAAGACACATGTGCCCCTACTTAAGTGAGGAACACTAGTTCTAACATAATATTACACATCAGCAACCTCAACATAAGTATAAAGACAGAAATACCCCTACATACTCGACACTGACACCATCTTATGCCTCTGTTGAGTGGTTGATTCCCTTTTTAGGTTGCTTCTCGATAGTGTATGTCCATACTAGGAAGGATTGTCTTTTATTTACACTATAGCTCGTTTAGTGAATAATAAGAAAGAAGATAGTAGAGATTGTTGGTCTGACAATACTTTGCTCCCATGTGTCCCTCTCTAATGAGAGAGATCTTTAGATAATATCAAAATTATCCAAAATTGTCAAAACAAAAAATCCCTAATGGGGCTGATATTACATTAAATCCTCCCACTGGTAGTGGCTCATGGTTCTTATCCTAGGCATGATGGAGACAGTACTCATAGAGGCCCATAGTTCTTATCTAAGACACAACAGATCATGAAGTCCACCTATTAGCACATTCCCCAATAACAGTGATACACCACCAACTTAATACAGATCAAACCACAAGTATGATAATTTGAAGAATGCTCTGCCAGAAACTTTTAACATATCAGATATTGAAATGATGCACAAGGACAACAAAAAATAAATGGCTCTTAGGCAAGACAAAGACTCCCCCTTAACAGAAACCTATAGTCTTTTTTAATATTTCATTGAACATTTATAAAGTGCAATGATAACAATGATGATGACGTATGAGGTGCAATGTATTTTGATGCTGGAAATACTCCGCCAATTCAACAAACTTCTGTTATGCAACATTCGTTGCCTATAACCAAGGAGTGTGCTCACAAATGAAGAACCACTTCACCTGTCCTTTAAGTTTTAGATCTGAAGCTTCACTTTCTTTCCTCATGAAGCTAATAGAAACCTGCTGCAGCTGGACATTTGGGTGGAATTTGGGTTGGACGGTAGGTTTATGGTAAGTTATTTATCAAAAATAACTTATCACATAAGTTATTTGTGATCAGTTATAACTAAGTTTCTTTTACTTAGCCTAATTTACTTAAACTTATCAAAGTTGTTTTATGGATGGAAAACTAAACATACTTTTTTACTTTTCTACTGATGGTCAGTTGATATTAGTGGAAAAGTTACTTATAATCCATACTGTCGCTGGAATCCCTAGAAGATGCTATTAGAACTCAAAAGGATACAATTTACACACTAGTAGTATTATCTCCACTAGATAACAGTCAACAAATCAAGAATTCATACACCAGAGCAATATAGTGGTAACCCCAATATAAAGTTTGGGTGAAAATAGAGAGGGAAAAAGTGGTGGGATATGTACCTGGATACCTATGCATGCTTAGCACACCAGTGTTGGATACAATCCTGGATATTGCAATGGATACTTGTAGATGGTCTTTATAACATTAACACTTTTAATATGTACAATGTATGTTTTAAAAATACTTCAAAAAAATTGCACATATTAGAAATTTAATTCTTGGCAAAACATAAGCCTTGAGAAATAACATTTAGCTTCAAAAACTAGTATAGACTCCTTATATAAGCATATTACATGGGAAACCAGTACTTGTATCCATTTCTAGGATTTTAGAAAATATAGTCATATCCCTGTTTTCCGGTATTCATGTCCATGACCATATGCATATCTGGGCATCATAAGTAGTGTGCATTTATTCCCTGCTTCACACACACAAAAACAAAAAAATTAAAAAAAAAAATCCTTCTGTCACTTCCTACCTTTGCATAAATATACAGGTGACCAAACAATGCCAAAGTGCCACCCAAAAACAATCTTCGTTGACCATGATCAAAACTGAAGTAGACATCTGTTTTTCTTTTTTAGTTTTCAAGTAAAATCTCTATGATTTCTTCCTAAAGCATCAAATAGTTCTGGAAAGTTCTCCAAAAGTCCTCTAAAAATTAGGCAGTTCAAGAATAACACAGTCCATTGCAGATAATTACTATTTTTAGGAAAACAAAATACAGTAATTCCTATAATTACTATTTATAGTAATTATTTTATTTATATCAAAACCAAATGTGATAAAAGGTACCACAAGATGAGGCTGAGATTAGGAGTAAGGAGATCAATTGAAGAGACTGTTGATAGAAATCCAAAAAACTGCCAAATACCAAACAATAATTGAATAAGGCTAGCTATGAAAAGTGCTACTAAGAGAGGACAGTAGAGATCATTGGTCCAACTCCAATATGCTCATCTCTAATGAGAGAAACTCTTTATATCATATTAAAACAATCCAAAATTATAAGAAAACTCTCAATTGTATTGATATTACATTATGGTCTCTGACTATATATTATCTTCCAAAAATAGCAATTCCTCATACAAACCAAATACTGTAATAAAAGCACTCCACTTACTTATCTTGCCTTTTCTCGTATTTCTTAATCTCTAGTTGTATGGCTGTAAATTCAAAGCCTCTCTTGCTGTTTGCAGAGGCTTCTGGGGTGGATATGTAAAAGAATATATAGAAGCTTCAAATCCAGCATTTGCTATTGGAGAATATTGGGATAGTTTGGCATATGAAGGTGGAAATTTATGTTACAACCAAGGTAGCTGCATTATCATTTGATTTTATCTCCATGTCTCACTATAGGGGAGAAAAGCAAGTTATTATCTTCTCTAGCTAGAGTAGTTGTCAGTCTCCATTATTAAATGCTGAAGCTCTGATACAATTTTAAAGTGAAAAATTACACCTTTTCTCATCTTTTCTTCTTTCATTTCAGATTATTCACTCCAGGGTACCTTTCTGGTTGAACATTTGTGTCCCCAAAATTTATTTCTGAAAATATATTCTAACATATAGATTATCATTTTTAAAACCTCATTTACTAAGAATAGGTCTGAAAAAATTGTTCAATTGGTTTCTTGTTTGGTTCTTGCTGGTTTCTGAATTTGCACTATTATTATTATGGTCTTCAGTACTGGTACTCTGACCACCTAGATTCAAAATGTTTTGAGGTACAGTATGTCAGATAGACTAATACTGTTACTATTATCTATCTGCATTAGAACTTTAAAAATGTAATACTGCATCTAGTTTTCAATGTATGTTCTTAGTTAATATCTAAAATTTTGTCTCATCCATTCATTAAGTCCTAGTTAACTGGGGATTATATGCCTTTTTTGCTCTTTGAGCTGCACGTTTATTACTTGTTTTTGGCTTAGAATTTTCAGTTAATTGAACCATATAGTCTCTTTTACTTGACAACCTGAAATTTTGAGTTTATTTGCCTTGGTAGATGCCCATCGGCAACGAATTATTAATTGGATCAATGCCACAGGTGGCACTTCATCTGCATTTGATGTCACAACCAAGGTACTGTCTGTACTTCTTTCTATCTATTTTAACGAATTATTAATGTGCTCGTTGGGAGCTTAAGATTGGCCTAAAGCAAATTGTTGCATTTGAGATTACTGTGTTTGTGAAAATTTGAGAGAAAAATGAATTGATTGTATTGTCTTGGAAGGAGCATATACACAACTTTATATAGAATTACAGAGCTAATTTAYAGGGTGATAAAATAGGAAACTAACTTTTCCTAAAAAACTAATTTCTATATCAGTGGGATTCTCCAATTAATATCCCATGATTCTAGGATATCCCATGATTCTAGGAAATTAAGTTTCCTAAACTGATGGACCTAAAATTATGGAGAATCAATCAGAGAGTCGATCTTCTACTTTCCAACAGTGTTTTAACTTGTTAAAGCTGAAAAAGGAATTTGTGAATGTGATGTAGAGGTTTTTTTCCTCCAAAACTTCGTAATGGAACAACATTTATTTTACTCTTTTTTGGAGCAATACTTACCATGCACTTACTCTGTTATGATTGTTTTGTACGAGTCTTATTCTTGGACCGTAGAGTCCATCTATGCAAAAGCATTGTCTTTGGAATCAGGATTTTTGCCCATCTATTATTCGGAATAGGTGTTTTCTGTCCTTCAATGATTTTATACTCTTTTCAAGAGTGCTTTTGCCACAACCTCCATCTATTATTCTTCACTCTTGAAGATGCCTACATCTGGCTGAGAGATGAGAAAAATCCAAAGAAACTTTTCTTTAGAATGTAAGGCATGACAAGTGGAAATTTTTAATTAGTAAAATGGAAATGGGTTTATTGCCTTAAACATTTGGAAGGTATAGGCTTTAGTGAACAAGGTTTTTCTTAAAAAATAGTTGTGGATATGTCTTAGGGAGGATGTAGCTTTGTGGATGATCTAGATGTGTCTTTTTCTTTAAGAAAAAGATTGGGTTTAATTATAAGCCCATATGATCCAACAACTTAAGGTCCATTTGAAACTCAACTAAGTGGGTTGGGGCCATGTCTTTGAAAGAAGGCTAATAGGCTAAATAAAGCCTATTTAGGTCACTGAAGGAGTGTCTGATGCCTGGTGCTCCCTTTCTTTTAGCGGGAAGTCAGGCGTCATTCACTCATAGAGAGGATGGTTACATAACCATCTCAAGTTCTTAACCCCTATTTAATCTCCTTGTAGGGAGGCTACAGGACCCCTTCTAGAGAAATATTTATAAGTAATCTCAACAACTTCTAGAATCTTGAGGGGTTCAATCTCTAATGAATGAGAAAAAAAAGTAGAAAAAAGTTTGTAAAGAAGAAGAAAAGAGGGAAAGGAAGGGGAAGAAAGAGAAAACACCTAGAATATCTATTTTGGAGATTCTCAAACAAGAGGAGAGAATTTTCATTCTATGTACCTATATATAGGCAGGTGGATGGTTTCTCTCCAAATATCCTCTTTGAATATGTCTTATCTCTCATATTAGAATCTTTATATTATCTTCTCATTTTCTCTTTTATACAGTCTCTAAATCTCATATGTAAAAGAAGAAATTGGAGATGTAGAAGGAAGAAACCATCTAAAGTCAAATCATCTACAACCTTGTTCTTTAACTTGGTTGACCATGGCTCCCTATAAATGCAGATCTTTAAGTCTAAAGAAATGAGATGGAAACTAATTCAGGAAATGTTTGTAACAATTGTCATATCTATTCAAAAAATGATATGATGTTGTGAAGTTTCTTGATTGTATTCCACATTTCTCATTTCTGTAAATTTTGAATATGAAAATGTAGAGAACACTGATGTGGGCCCCACAGCAGTGGTCCCCACTGTGTTCGTAGGACAGCATGTGTAGTTATTTGTTTCAGTCATAGTAGTGCCAGTTGGGGTCAGTTTGCTATTTCAGTTTTTATTTACTTTATTTGTCATGTAAGTACTAAGGGCAGATCTGTCCTTTCCTCTATGTACTGAACATAACCTATAAATACTAATAGAGTGGCAGCGGCAGATGTGTTAGAATCTGTCCCTCCTTTCAAACCCTTGTGTTCTTCTGTTTCTCTTCTCTCTTCCTTCTCCTCCTTACTTTTCTTCTGCTTTTCTAAACCTAAAATCTATTAGGGTTCAAGACTGATTGCAGTCTTGATCTTCTACTTGGTATCAGA